ATTAACACTTAAACACTGACATGTAATAACTAAAGAAGTTCAAAGGTTAACCAAAGATGAAAAAATGCAAGTTTTAGCCTCTTTTACAGAGAGCTTCAAAATTTGCGGCCATCTTGACCGAGTCACATTGTCCACCAATCAGAAAGTGAAATTAGCAAAAGCATTCCAGGATAAGTCACCTATCACTCTGCATTTGTCAAAAGGTGAACTAATTGATGGTTATGATTTGATGTTAACAAAGACATAACTCAAAAAGATACAAAAAGCAATGGCATTAGGTATTGGTGTTGACATTAAGATATGCGAAATACAGATCAAACATGTTGTGCAGCATGGTGGTTATTTGTTCAGCACACTTGTTAGTTCAGGTGCTAGATTACTTCCAGTGGTTGCTAAAAGGTATTACCAGCTCTTGCAACTTGTGCTATTGATAGTCTTGGTGGTCTAGCAATGGATTAGATAACAAAAAGAGGAAAGGGACGGACAGGTGGTTTTATGATTCCCGTTGACAGAATAAATCAACTTATCCCATATCGGTCGGTAAGTCGGTAACTAATTATTTCTTAGAAAAGCCCCTGAAAGATGTGACTAATTTTAAAGATCTCGGTGTCACACTAACTAGAGATCTTTCATGGGGCCATCACATAAGTATCACTGTCAATAAAGCGAACAAAGTTTTAGGTTCCATTAAACGCTCAGTAGGCACCGCTAACACAAATGTTTTTTCTATGCTGTACATGTCTCTGGTACGGCCAATCTTGGAATATGCGGTACCTGTTTGGTGTCCTTACCTTGTTAAGGACATCCATGCCCTTGAAAATGTACAGCAAAGAGCCTCAAGACTCGCTTTAAATCAACGCAAAGGAGAAATGTCCTATGAAGACCGATGCAAACTGTTAAAATGGCCCACTCTCTCTGACCGTAGAACTTACTTATCTTTAGTCGAATGTTATAAGATAGTTTTTGGTTTTTATCATTTAAATTTTGAAGACTTCTTTGATATTGCCACGATTCGGTCTACGAGAGCAAATCATCAATACAAACTCTATATTAAACCAGCTAGACTTAATTGTTACAAAAATTCTTTTTTTATTAGGATTGTCAAATTATGGAACGAGTTACCGGGTGATATAGTGGAAGCTGACAGCTTTCAGCATTTTAAATCTAAACTTAAATCGTACTTAAATATTTGATTGTAATGATTTTGATTTATATTTTGTCTTTTCTTTTAAGGGAGTTTTTACACAGGGATAACCTCTTAACTTCCTTTTCTAGAAGTATTTTCTTTTTAGTTTTATTTGTATATAATAGTTATCATCTGCTTCTGGAATAAATAAAGTATGTATGTATGTATGTATGTATGTATGTATGTATATCAGTAACCTGCTTACTTGTTGCCAAAATAATAAACTAATGGAGGCCTTAAGAGAATTCCTTTTGTTATCAAACTAACAAAGAAACAGAGTGGTGGATTCCTTGGTACATTGCTTGCAAGTATTGGTGTTTCATTATTGTTGAATGCATTAGCAGGTAAAGGCATGCAGGATTACAATATAATGACAGTGTATTAAACTCTCTCGCAGTAACTTACTGAATTAACGAGTTATAATACTATGAAAACTTAATAAAATCAACGATGTACATTTCTGTATACATTAAATACAAATTATATACAACACACCAAAACAAGTATCACATTTGTTAAAAATGCTGAAAAGTGAAAAAGTCTTCAGTGCGCTTCGTTCAACGTTGACTAACGTTTCTGTAAAAGTACAGCTGGCCGGAATTGTGCCTTATGGTGTAGGGAAAGGTATCTTCTAGGCGTGTTGGTAGAAGAGGATGAAGAAGGTGGTTTAAGTCCTTCATAATCTGGAATGGATAGCCACACAGGCACGGCGTACTCTAGAACAGATCTAATAGAGCTTGTATAGACCTTTAACATGCTACCTTGATCAACGCCGGCTCGACGTAGAATACGTAGGGAGTAGAGCTTCTTGCAAGCCTTTCTATTCCACTTAAGGTCGCTATCGACAAATACTCTTAGAATCTTGTAAGTCGATACACGTTCTCTACTGTTGTTTCCTACAACTAATGGTCTGAGGGTAAAGTTAGGATATACATAAAGTTAATTAACATCTCTTTACATTTAATAGGGTTTAGTCTCATGTTCTGATCCATAGAAAAATTGTGAATGTCAGATACAGGGAGATACGGTCGAACTGAGCAGACTGATAAAGTTCCTGGGTAGTATTTACTCCAGGAATTCTATCATGTATGTATGTAGACAGCGGCTCAACAAGGCCAGCGTTTAAATTTTTTAATGCGTTTGTCAGTTTCTTTTACAGTCCCGTCAATAGTGTTGAGAGTCACAACTAACCAGGCGATAACTTGGACAGGCTCCCAAAAGAACTTTTCCTCATTCGGAACAAATCCAGACTTGAGCAAATCTGAATGGACAACTAAACTGTTAACTTTAGTAGAAACATTGTGTTGCCCCTCCTAAACTGTCATCAAGGAAAATAGCTATAGGGATGCCCTGGCTCCTCCACGTCTTCTGTAATGGCTTCAAAATCGATGTAAAAATATAAGGAGCTGAAGAGAGCCTGAAAGGGAGCACACAGAACTGAAAATATCTTGAAACCTCATTGCCAAAATCCCAAGCGAAAGCGAGAAATTCTCTGTGGTCCGGGAAAATTTCATATCCACTCTCTCCAGACGGGCATGATTTGCCCAAATCTTCGCATTTAAACTTCTTCTTGTTTATAAACTAGTTGACATGTCGAAGATCCAAAATGAGCCTTTCCTTTCCCGAACTATGGTTAGAAACTGAAAGCGGGTTAATGATATCGGGCTTACAAGCAGAATTATTTTTTCACTCAACAAAAGGTGTTGGATTTCAAATAAGGGAATTTTGTAACCCTGCATAATAACATTCGAGATGAATTGCAAAACTTCCAAAGTATACCAAAAATCCGCAAATTTTCCAAGTCTTCCATGTACAGATGAATAAGTCAAATCAACTGCACAAGAGTCTGCATCTTTGAGGGAATCTAACATGAAAACATCAGCACAAGCGGCAAAGCTGGGATCCGAGTCCATAGCACTGTTTAATTCCGCTTGCAAAGGCAAAGTAATAACTTCAATACTACCAGAGGAAAGAACTACACCTGAGTTGTGGCGGTCCTTTAGTCACTTTGTTGATGTATTCTGCTGGGCCATTGTTGGACAGGATGTGCACCAGTGGCCAGATTTACCACGCGCAAAACATGTTCCGAGTTTGGGTCGAGGCAAGTAACCAGGCACAAGTGCGGGAAAAGGCCGCAGTTGGCTTGACTTGGTAGACTCTGCCGGCGCCGAAGATTTCTTCTTCTTTAATGCGTTGACAGAAGTACGAGCGCGCGATTCAGCCTCCAATATCTGCTTCTTGTCATCAGAGTCATCTGCCTAACTGTGTTTTCTATATTCATCGACTGTAGCCCATCCGTAATCTGATTTGTCAGTCAGTACAATGTGTTTCTGTCACTCAGAAATTTGTCTCACCTTCTTCTAAGCTGGTTTTGACCTTCTCGAGCTGTGAATTTTTGGCGGCGGATTTGGCGCTGTCGAGCGTCTCGCTCTCGCTGACTATAAATTTCAGAGATTGATTCCTCTGTTTCCGGCATTAGGAAAAAGTTATGGTATCTCACGCATGTTCATCATAACCCGAGCATTAAGTACGCCTCGAGATGCTGAGGGAAGAGAAAGCGGCTCCATGTTTTGTGAAAAAAAACCATTTCCTTAAGTTCAAAGGAATTGAATAGAAAGCATGAAAATATAGCGCCATGACCAAGCTATGAAATTCACTCCACCCGCAGTGGGACTAACTCCATTTTACCCGTGATATTGTTTGCATCACACATTTGCTGTCGGTAATTTAATTCTCAGATGTTTGACGGGTTCTCACATGACCATATTGTCAAAATCAAATTACCAAGTCAGACTTAATGTAAACATGAACATCGCTAACTCAATCTCATTTTATATCAATTTTGGGAAAGGCCATTACTTCGTTCTTAGGGTAAAACAACACATCTTCGACAAAGCGGTTTTTTAAAGTGAATAAAAAAACCCTGCGATAGTTAACTGAAGAGAGAATGATAGAAACTTACTCACGCCGTTCGCTATCATTTGAAAACTTTCTAGGCAGAGCATAATAAGTAAAATAACTTCTTTTCCCTCAACACAACGACTGTATTAAACATTCCAAACGATAGGGCAAGAAATAACTTGATGAATACGAACACTTTGAAATGTTATTCGAGCGATGAACCGGCGCGAGGGTTAGAATTGAATAGAATAGTTCATTTAATATCGAAGACGTGGGATGTGTTTGCACAATCTTCCGAGTCAGAGGCACACCTTAAGAATGCTCGACAAACTAAAAATTCAAAACAAAGATAAAATGTGAGTTATGCACATACATGCAGGGGTCAATTTGATAAAACTTCTACACTTGTAATCTACAAGTTAGACCGTTGTATTTACAAGTGCAGGCGAAAACGAGTTTAATAAACATCGTTACAAGTCCAGGTTACAAGTGTCCGACTTGTAATTACAGGTGTAGTGCTAAGATGGTAAGTATCAAATTTAATAAAACTTTTACAAGAGTCCGACTTGTAAATCACAAGTGCAAAATACATGTCGCATGTCACTTGTAAACATTACACATAAACATTGGAGCGTCACAATATGTCAACTTCTGGTGAAGAGGAACTCCACGAGCTGCTAAGACGTCAAGTTATCCGTCAATCTAGGAATTTCCAAAACAGACGGCTTTTCGACATCGAAAATCCAAGGGAATTTCGAGAGAAGTTTCGGTTGCCCGTGGACGCCTTCGTCCACCTTTCGGAATTAATAGGCCCCGCTTGGAGCATAGATCGAGGCATAACAGAGCATTAACGGCAAGACAGCAACTTTTAGTATTTCTCCACTTCCTTGGAACAAATTCCTTCTATCACGTAATGCACTCTTGTCGTGGCATCTCCACATCAACAGTATGGCACATCATTCATCGCGTTGTCCCTGCAATACTAAGCTTGAAGCGGGAGTTCATACGATGGCCTGGCCAGCCTCTAAGTATCGCCGCTAAATTCAGAGACATCGCAGACTTTCCGTGTGTCGCAGGATGTGTTGATGGAACTCACGTTCAAGTGAACCCACCTCCCAATGATGAAGACGCCTACGTCAACCGCCGTCGTTCCAAATCTCTGAATGTCGCCATGGTATCAGGCCCAGATTACACAATCTACTTCTGTAGCAGTCGATACCCTGGAAGGTGGCATGATTCACGAGTGATTAAAGAAAGCTCTCTGTGGATCGCCTTTGAGCAACAGGGGAACAGACCATTCCCAGGAACAGTTATGTTAGGCGACTCTGCCTACGCCTGTAACAGTCGGTTGATCCCTCCTTTCAGAGGAGACGTAGAAGGGGCTTGCCGAAGGTTTAATGAGGCACATAAGAAAACACGATGCACTATCGAGAGGGCATTTGACATTCTCAAGAAAAGATTTTACGCTCTCCAGACGGGTATGAGTGAAAAACATGACAAGAGCGGCCGAGCTTGTCCAGTGTGCTGTTACATTGTACAACCTCTGCATTCTATTTAGCGATAATGGCGGTGATCTGCTGGACGATGCAGATCTCGACACTGTCCACGATGAGTTGGATATCGGTGAACAAGAGGACAGAAGGCAGCAGCTGTTGCAGCACTTCCTTTAAATGTGAGGACTTATACAAATGACGCTGAATTAAAGACTGCCACTGCTTCAATATCGTGCCGAATAAATGGCCAATTTTTTTATTCAATGACGATAATCATTGTGTTATATTGAACAAATTACACTTAAACCTAACTTCCAAAGGAAAAAGTGAGTGTACATGTAGGTCATAATTCTGATATCGCCCATCACCAATTTACAATATTCCTCCCACTATCAATAGCATTATAATATATTAAGTTCGACAAATGTCCAAAGGCTACCGATATAATCATTTTAATTTACATTTTGGACGCCGTTTAATGAAATTAATTTTCAATATCCTTTCTAAGTTTTTTTATCTCCAATCTCAGCTTAACGTTTTCTAGTTGGAACTTTCTCTTTCTAAGGCGCAGTATGTCGTCCTCTGTTGTCTTCTTGTCTGTAGCTGATGATTTCCTTTTAGCCCTGAGAGCACCTCTCTTTCCAGCTGATGACAGAGCTTGGCGTCCAATTTTTGTTGGCGTTGGTGTTCCGGCGACTGCCTGCCTGGGTAACATTTGTGGTGAGCCGGCACTACTATGTCCACTTACTTCTTCCGCTTCACCAATCCCAGTTTTCTGCGGTAGAAAATTGCACTTCCTCAGTGTAACTTCCAACGCCACCCAGTGCAAAGAAATTGAACATAACGCTAACTTCATAATATGTTGGGTTAGAAGTCGCTCCGATTTGTCCGCGTTGGGAAAGGATAAATGTCGCAGGGTGGGGTTTAGGGTTTCAGGAGCTAAGGTGAGGTACTTCTTCCGAAACGGCTTTAAGATCTGAGTTGGTTTATAAAACTTTTACTCTAGTTTGGCATTATACAATAGTTCCTCCCCCTTTTGAAAACGCATTGAAAAGCATCCTCATTTCATTACCAAGAAGGCACGCACGTTAAAGATGGTTGAAAAATTTAAATATGGGTTATAATTATCTTACCTTCAACGCTAGGAATTGTTGTGACAACGATCTCCTCTCCAAATACAATATCCGAATCGACTTTCATGGGCTCTATGTTTGTACTTTCGCGGCCTAAAACATCGAGGACAGTCTCGTCTAGCTCGGTGAGCTCTCCACTTCCCCCTGCACCAGTCTTATTAGATTCGCTAACTTTTGTGAGAGTAGCCCTGCGAATATTGGCCCATAAAACATCTCGAAGTGTTTTGGCACTGTCTTTGTTTGCGCCAACGCCGTTTAATTGCTTGTGAATCTTTTCCCACGCTTCTTGCTTTACTTTCTTCGTTACAGTCTATCATTTTATGTCCCTTGAAAAGCTGAGCCAAAAGCAACTTTTGCTGTTTGGATAACATGCTCAACGACTGTTTAAGAATAAAACTGAAAGCAAAGGAAGCAAAGCCGCATGTATTGAAAAGACAGCAGTGATTTTTAATTGCATATGTAAAAAAATCACTTATTACATTCTAGCAGAGTTTACAGTTGTCAAAAGGTCGGCGATCTGTGCAGGCAATAGCGTGGTGCGGTCTGCAAGGTTTGGATCGTTCTCGAGTTTCTGCAGACCCAAACCTTGCAGACTGGAGAGACCTGGAGAGATCTGGAGAGACCTGGAGAGACCTGGAGAGACTGGAAGACCTATGCAAGACAGAATTAAGGGGCATGATCGAGACATTCGACTCGCCCGTACCGAGACCTCCGCCGTTTCAGAGCATGCCCACCGGACACAAGCCACTCTGGAACGAAGAAAAGTTTATTGATCGTGACCCCTATTACTACACGCGCAGGGTCAAGGACAAGGGCAATTCACATAAGACTTCACCCTAACAACATCAACAGGGATAGTGGAATAGAAATTCCAGAAGCGTGGATGCCCACGATCAAAAAACACAACAACAGGAGAGCCGTGTGACAGCGGGCAGCGGAGAGAGCAAATCACTGATCAGCAAGGATCGAAATGCACCAATCAGAGTTGTTAAAAAACACAGCAGAGCATCATGCTTTATAAGATCACGCATGACCTCATCGCCTGAAGAAGACTAGCAGTATGCAGTCGAAACGTCGCGATCTTCATCACACGTGACTACATCGTGAGACAAACGAAAAACTTAGCTTTTATTGTATTTTCTTTATTAAATTGAACCCAGGTTGCAAATTAATTGCAAACAATAAAAAAATTATCTATATATAATCTATCTAGGCCTTAGCGTGAGAAAAAACCAGATAAGACACGACTTACCTCTTCTTCTTTCTCAGATCCTTTGTGGCTCGCTTCTCTATGTTGATAACCTCTTTTCAGTCCGTTTTCTGGAGCTCTTTGTATTTCCGTCTAACGTTACTCTTCGCTAGACGTTCGCCTTTTTACTTATGCCTTTTCTCGTTCTCTTTCGCGTTCCTCTCGCCGTATTCTGGCTATTTTAGCGTCCTTTCTTGCGCGTTTTTCTTGACTCGCTTTACGCTTTTCACTTCTTGCTTTCTTTGATTGCTCTGTAAGTAAGTAAGTAAGTAAGTAAGTAAGTAAGTAGGTTTATTAAATCTCCACCCAGTGGCTCTTCCGATTTAATTTACAATAATTGGAAATCGAATAAAAGTACCTATAAAAGTTACAATAATATCATGATAAAGAAAAAAATACAAATAAATAACTAACATATTCTTTAAATTCTATACCTAAAAAAGATTCCTACGGACTGTCATATATTTCGCGCTTTACTGCACGCTTGAAAACTGAGAGTGTTGCGCTATTTTTCGTTTCTTCACTTATAAGAGAATTCCAGGCAGTGATTGCTCTATAACTAAAAGACCTCTGTGCTGTGGCTGTCCTACAAAAGGGTACAACTAAGTTGTCTCTAGATCTAGTATTGTAGCTGTGGATAGCTGATCTTTTGTTGACGTAACACTCTAAATATGGTGGTGCAAGGCCATTGACTATTTTGTATAGCATCGTAACATCACGCACTAATAACTGGTTCTTAATAGAAGGCCAACACAGCGCCCGCAGCACTGGTGAGATGTGATCAAACTTCTTGCTCTTTGTCAACACACGGGCAGCAAAGTTTTGTACAAGTTGCAATTTGTTTATGTTGTGCGCAAACGTTCCAGACCAAACTGTCGAGCAATAAAAGAGTTTACAAAAAACTAGACAATTCAGAATGGTGGTAAGTACTGATTTGGAAAACAAGTGCCTAGCTCTGCTTATCTGGCATAGGGTAGAAATAAGAGACGAGGTTAGGGTGTTAAAGTGTTCATTAAAAGTAAGGTTCGAGTCCAATATTATACCCAGGTCTTTGACTGAGGACACAGGAGTTAAGTGTTGCCCAAGAAAGGGGACTCTGATACCAGGAACCCCACTTAAAAGCTGTTTCGTTCCAAAAAGAATAAGTTTAGTTTTGTCTGGATTAATAAGCAACTTATTCGTACAGCACCAGGAGGCAATGAGTCGGAGATCTTCCAAGACTTTTGCAAGGCAGGAGTCAATATTATTCGATGAACACGAAAAATAAACCTTTGTGTCATCAACATTTGACTCTACGCCTGAAAACTTAACAACGGACGGTAGGTCGTTCATGTAAAGGCTGAACATAAGAGGCCCTAGAATGGACCCCTGTGGTACGCCATGTGGGACAGTTAACTCACTAGAGCGAGATGTACCGAGTTGTGTTGACTGCATTCGGTTTGTAAGATAGCTCTCAAACCACTTTGACGCTTCATTTGACGCACCGAGCCCATTCACCTTGGTGAGGAGAGTTCTATGACATATGCTGTCAAAAGCCTTGCTCAAGTCGATTAGGAAACCATAGCGGTGATCTCCTTTTTATCCATCGCTTTATATATATGACCGGTGACAAGCAAACTCAGTGTTTCAGTAGAATGGTGTTTACGGTTTCCGCTTTGATGACAGGTGAGGTTGTCTTGTTGAGTCAAATAATCAGTGAACTGATTCAGGGTGATCTTGTCGGTCACTCTAGAAAGTACAAGCAATAATGAAATGGAGCGATTGTTACTAGGAATCTCGTGATCACCATCTTTAAGATGTGGCACTACTTCCAACTTCTTCCAGGCCTTAGGGAAAACAGAGATGCTAAAAGAAGAGTTTATCAATGCAGTTAGAGTTGGTAATATATACGGTAAACAGTCCTTGATCACAAACACTGGAATTCTGTCATAGCCTGGAGCTTTATTAGAAGGCATAGCCATAATCACTTTCCGCACATCTTCACTGGTTATTGCTTTGAAGTCAAACAGTTCATCACAATGAGTTGAACCGAGATAAACAGGAGTAGTTGGTAGGCCGTGTAGGCGAGCGAGCTCCGCAGAGTCATCGGCGGCCTTCTGTCCCACGGATATAAAGAAGCGATTGAATTCATTAGCGAGTGCATCTGTGTCCTTGGTAAAGCTTGGGCGGCCTGATTTATTTGGGAGGGCACTGCGAATAGTTTTCCACATTGCCCCACTGTTGTTCTTATTTTCACAGATTTGATGATTGTGGTGCTCTCGTTCCGCCTTCCGTAAAACAAATTTAACTCTATTTCGCAGCTCCTTAAAAACCTCCCAATCTTCCCTCGTCCCAGTCCTTCTCGCTCTTTTGTGAAGGTGGTCTCTCGCCTTCATCAAATCCCTTATGTCCTCCGTGATGAATGGGTTTGGTTTATGTCGTATTTTCACTGTTTTAACCGGAGCATGGTCGTCCAGACACCCCAACAGCAAGTCATTAAATGCATCGAGTCTGTTATTAACGGATTCGTCTATCAGGTTCATAGTATCCCATGGAATGTGCGCGATGTCATTTGCAAACTGACTAATCGGCTTTATAATTCCGAAAACTACGTGTGACGATGTAGGTTGGGGCTTGCTTGGGTGATCTTAAGTTAATAACAGCATGAACCAGAAAATGATCACTTATAGTTGTTTCAAGAACA